TGCTGAATCAGAACTAGCTCCATTCAAAGCAACTCAAACTGCATTGGGGTCAACTGTAGAGCAGCCCCCCAAGCGGGGTACTACCCTCTGCCAAGTTGGATCCAGCTTTGCACCCAAGTTAAAATGTTCTTAAAGAACCAGGAAAAAGATGCAGGGTTCTGTAAGGTTTCAAACTGAGCAAGTCCACAGAAATCCAGCGTTAGCCAGCACTGCCAGACATAAATGATCCTGCACAGTCATCTTCTCTCAACTTTCTCCCATGTCTGTTCTCATCACTTATCTCACATAACCATTAAGCTAGACACCAACAGAAAATTACTAATGGATTCCATATAAAAATGAAAGGGAAATACAAAAAATCAATTCGTTTTCATACTTACTGAAGAGAGCCAGTAGCTGTGTCCAGCAGAGCTGCTCATCCTGGCTGTAGCTGTGCTGCTCTGTTTCATTGCTGAAATCTCGCAGGTGATGCAGTTGAAACAGATTGATGACAGTAATATGTACTAACTGCTGAGAATTGAAGGCCTTTTGGAATAACAACCTCTGCAACAAAGACACACGTACCACGTATGTATTTTTATATGGTGAAGCATGCACTTGAAAGGATTAGCAGTTGCTACTTCACTGCATGACCAACGCTTCTGCCCTTAAGGCAATCTTCATTCTAGATTTTATTTTCAGGTCATCCCTATTAGCACAGCACTGGGCTTCCCAGGAGGACATGGGCAAACACGCACTGTTAAGCCTGAGGTTTTTGCTCATACACCAACTTATACGCACAGCACATCAACATCCCCTTGGATATGGTTCTCTGAGAGCAAGGGCAACTTCAATGTGCAATGACAGCATTGCAATGGGACTGCAAGAATTGCAGAGGCATGTATATCCACTGAAATTTTCAGTCTTTTGAAGAAACAGCACAGAGAAGGCGACATTTAAAAAAGAAAAGAAAACAGAACACCCCAGGAAAATTCAACTACTGTGTGGTTATGTATTACAGACTAATTCCACATCTGATGTCATGGGTCATGGAATGCCATGGTAATAGTGTGAACTATTTACAGATGCATTTCGGTAACTATGCTGGAAAAGATACCTTTATCAGAACTGGAAAAGAAATTTCAATGCTTTTTTTTGGAGCACTGTGAAAAAAAGGAGATATCCTAAACAACAACCAACTTCTCTTCAGACACAACAGTCAGCAAGGCAAAACAGGTTAACCAGCGTAAGCCTCAGGAAAAGGTTTGAGCTCTGTGTTCAACCTTTATTTTTAGTTAAGGCCATGAAGCACTCAACAGTCGACAACTCAAACTGGCAGAGCTGTCAGCAGCAGAATCGCAAGTCCAGCTGCACACTCCTAACTCTGATTGCTCTCCTCATTCAGAGGTAGAATCAGCCACCCAGTTAAAGTGATTATCCACCATACAGCCAATTTCACATTCACATTCAACCCATTTAAGTCAGAAGAGTTGCTCTCTAGTAAATTAAGCCTTACGTTGCATAATATAAACAAAAAGCAATCTAAGCAACAAAGCAGGGCTCAATTAGCTCATTTTAACACCCTGGATCAGTTCAGAAAAATAAGACTGTTCCACATGCCTGAGCAATGCTCGTAATTATTGATTATAAGCACTGTGGAAAAAGCAGTACTTGTTCAAACAGCCAACATAACACACAAAAAGAGAGAATTATTTAATTTTGAAACAACGTTAACTCCCAGTGCACAAGCAGCTCACACTCAAAGCTAATACAATTCACAAGTTTTGTGTTTGTGTGGGGCTTTTTGTTACTTGTTTTGGGTTTTTCTTAAATTTATTTTAAAGACATTTTGGACTTAGCTGTAGGAGCCAAATACAGTGCAAAAATTCGAAACAGACGCTATAAAGAACATTTGTAATTATTTCTATTGATAAGACCATATTCCCCCTCTCTAAGTTGGAAAAAGCATCAACTGTTCTGTTGAACATATCCATACTACCTGCCTCCTTTTCCACAAATGACAATGCTAAGCAGTCATTTCAAAAAGGCACCTAGCAGTTAGCATAATGTCCTCTTTGAAACTGTACTACCATATAAATACCTGACAAATTTCCTTTGTTGCAATCTTGCTATACAGTCCAACTTAATCAGATGGCTACACAATTAATGGGTACTCCTGGATTTTCCAGAGGAAACGTGTTCTGAATCATTTTAAGTCTACACACAAATTAAGGTTGTACTGGAACACTTTTTAAAGGCAAACCACTGACAGGAGAGGCAAGTTGTCTGAGGAAGATTAAAAGCAGCCTTAATGACCAGGGGGAGTGAATGAATGCATCCTAAGATGAAGCTCTTGAAATTATCCACGCAACTGAGCCAAGACTTCCCAGATGAATCAGGTGCTTTTCAGAGGTATCCAAGAATCATCCAGGTTAAAAAGCAGAAAATTAACTGTAGTCATTGCTTTCCCTGTATCTCCAACCAACACCACACATATCAAATAGGAAAAATCTCTACTATTTGCAGAAGCCAACAGAACTATCCAGTGTTAGCTGCAATGCAAACCTTCCGTAACTGGCTATTTGAGTTTCCAGTATTTTAGCATGTAAAAAAGTTATTATTGGAGTGTAATTTCCAAACTTGGCTGCTAAAAATACCCATCTCAACATACTAATTAATATGTTGTTAGAACTAACCTTGAACTGTTCTTCCAGCTTTTCTCGAAGAGGACTCAGCTTGTCCAAGCTCTTACTCAGGTACACATGGCCATGGAATTTAATAAATGCCTTGATGAAGTCAGACACGCTCCATCGAGTCTTCACCTCATCACGACTACATTCAGAACAGAAATACCCAACTTCAGACTTTGGAATTAGACACAGCTGTACATAACATTACAAACTTGTCCTGTGCAGTTCAAGAATGGAGGAATGTCCATGCAAAGCTACTTTTTCATGTTGCCACAATATGCTTTATTACCTGCATTCACTATTCACACTCGGGAACATCTCAGACGCAAAACTACTATTTGTTCCATATGTGTGTAAGGATGCTCTGACTGGACAGAGGTCAAGGAACTTTTACTATCAAATACTAATAACTTTCGGCAAGGGAGGCACATTTGGAAGAAGTCTCCTCTATCTTACCTGAGCAGAAATACGTTATGCTTTATCTTACCTTTCCAGTGCTTTAGAAAGTGCTTTTTGTAGGTTAGTGGAAGCAGCTGGGAAAGGAAACTTCACAGCAATGCTTCTGCAGTAGTAGAAAATTGTGGTCAAGTGGTCTCCTTTGGAGGAAGCTAGGATAGCCAACTGATTATAAGGCTGACCTAAGGGAGAAAAAGACAAGTTGTCCAACAAACCGTCACAGACTGAAGCATGCTACATTTCAGCTTCAGTATGATCACCTTAAAAGGGAGCATAAAGTACTAAGATCCTCAGCATATGAGGTTCAGATTAATCTGCTGACCTGTTTACTCCAGCCTCATATCAGAGCCACTGGGATAAAAAAAGATTCCAAGCTTGCAGTACACTTTTTTTCTTGTTTGCTGGCAGTGGGTATTTTTGGTGGGGCTTTTTTTTTAAAAAAAACCAAAACAACACATGCTTTAAAACTAGACAGCAAATATGGTGTAAAAAGCTAGATACCTGAACTAAAGAAGCTTTTAACTTGCACAAGCAACTTGAAAAGTCCAATTTTAACTATTAAACTTACTGGCAAGTAAACAAGAACAATAAAAGAAAAAAAGACGCTGGTAGGCAAGTTTTCATTAAATCTACTTCACAACATATGAATATAACACAGTATAATGTGGCAGTAGTGAAGCCTTGGAGTGAAGTGGTGCATTAACTTCTGTTTTGTTAAATCTCCACAAAAAGGAGACAAGTGACACAGATCAGGCAAGCAGCTATTATTTAAATGATTTACCCACAGGTCAGGCTTTGCATGGACTGTTTTGGGTATTCAGGAAGGTTTATATAAAATCTCTCAAGTTCTCAGCTGTCACAGAAGAAAAGCAATACCCCAGATCTTATTTTCAAATTATGAACCTAACATGTATCCCAGACTCACCATTAGAAGGGACAAGCTGAGCTGCATGTCTGTAGTAAGACTCTGCCTGGCTGGTCTGATTCCTATAGCGAGCTAAGAAAACAACAAAAAACCACCCAAGTCAGGACAAAAAAAATTCAACTCTTCTGCACTTGCTTTAAATACAACCCAGTTTACCTGAGGCACATTTTATTATTATTTTAGAAATAAGCATCAGAAGAACATACAATTACACCGAGCAGCATGAAGATTCAAAACATTGAATTTTAAGGTGGTGGTTTTAACTCAAATCCTATTGGCACAGGTTACCAGCTCTTACTTATAAAGATATTGTGCCAACAGCATCACATTCAGACAGCTAGAAATACTTTTCATACATCTTTGCACAAATCAGCAACTAGATCTACTTTTAGGTTATTACAGAAACAATTGCAGGCTCCTGTGAAAAGAGAACTTCCTACAACACATATTTCTACTTTAATCAAAGAAATAAACCTGTTGAACTATGTACAAAAGAAACCTAATTTATGAAAGGCTGGATTTCTAACTGTTGCCTTAGTATATATGATTTAAAAGTAAAGTTCTGAAATGGAGAAGTACGCTAGCCTGCTGCAGCAAGCTTCTGTAATAGTTACCAGTTTCAACATTTCGCTATGCCTACCAGCTATAACATGGTTAGTATGCTAGAAGACATATTCCAGCAAATCACTAGAAAGCTAGTGATTAACTGTCTCCATGCATTAATGTGTAACGCACATTAGAAAAGTCTCTCAGAATCACTTCCCAGACCCTTCCCTCTGCAAAAGCCACCAAACATACAATCAGATGCTAGCCACTAATTTAGAGCACATTTGTAGCTGCCCAGGGTATGTACAGATCCTTCTTCATGAAGGCTGAACACAGGTAGAACCCAATGTCCCACCTCTTTTCCCCTCAAAAACTCACCAATATCTCCAAGGTGGACAAGGCAGTGCTGGCAGATGTAAGAGCAGGAGCTAGATTGCGGCTTCACTATGGCGCTGGTGTGCGTCTGTTTATTGCTAATGATTCCCAGCTGGGAAGACTTTACACGACATGGCAAGTCTACATTAAAAACTGTGCACAATTCCTGTAATAACTAGAAAAACAGGTCTAGTTTAGCAGCAGCTATATCAGAAAAGCACTGAAACAAGGGACAAAAATTAACAGAGAACCACTCAGAGGCGTGGGTTGGCTAAACATATTTGAAGTGAACAAGCCTAGGTTACTGAAAGTGACACTTTAAGTTACATCCTCCATACCCAAGTCATTGAGCTCCATGCTGCATTATTCTGCCTAGAACCACCAAGTTTTACTTTTCTTCTGTAAGAAGGAGCTGTGCATCCCAAACCAGGAAGCAACTCAATTCCCATGACAGTTAAATTACCAAGCACCAGTGGAGACTATCAAAGGTCTACAAATCTTATTCGGGTTTGTGGTCTTGTTTCATTCGATTTTTGTTTTGTTGGGATTTTTGTTTTGGTTTGTGTGTTTGGTTTTTATTCTATGTTTGCTTGTTTATCTTTCAAGTAGGACACGCAAGAGGAACAGCATCTTTTTTATACCTTGATGAAGTGACACCATTCTCTGAAAATAATAGAAAGGAACAGCACTCATCCTCCAAAGCAGCTTGTTCCAACATAAGAAACAACATTATCCTGACTTGAACTTTAGAGAGAAGCTGGAACAAAACCAAGTTTGTAGGCAATACAAGGCAATAGTGGCTAACAGTTCAGCGGCTGAGTTCTCAGTAAATATTTGTGCTAA